CATAAATCACACCTACACGAGTTACTGTGTGATTACCAAATTCTAACGTAGCCCAAACGGACTCTATGTTCGCCTCACTAACTTTTATTATGCTAGATTTTATGCTATCCTTCACATACAGGGCCACCCCTCCCCCTTTCTTGCCTTCCCTATCTTTCCTATATAAAGAGTACCCTGGTATTGCTATGTCCCAGTCATGTTTCTCATTATACCATGTCTCAGTAACAGCGACTAAATCTACACTATCAGTTGCCAATATTGCCACAAGTTCATAGATCTTATTCCCTAAACTGCGAGCATTTGTAGACATGACTCTAAGCTTAATCATTTTTTAACACACTCGCTACAGTTACTTTCCGTCTTTGTTTTGGGGGACAATTGGATTGATGTTTTATCACCCTTTTGCCCCTCCCAGTTTAAATACTTCCTAGCAAAACCTCTGAACTGCTCACTGAGGATATTTGTTCCCTTTTGAGAAATGCTATTTGTTTTTATTTTTGCAATTCCTAACTTGCCATTTTGACTTAATTTAAGCAATTTACTTTATTGTATTTATTTCTTTGTTTGTTTAAATACCTTCTTGCAGTGCCTATGGGTATTCCTATGTGCTAGGGCCATCTGGTGCAATACCATGAGTTTCTCTGTTGGCTTCTCTCCTTTGATGCTGTTGCTATGCCTCTCTAACAAACGCCAATAAAGTTTTTTTTAGCGCTTTTGAAAACAATGGTGTTGCATGCTTTTTATCTCAAGCCCAGTTTTGGTTCTTTGTTTAAGTTTGGAGTTGTATTCATTCCTGCTGACCAGTTCTCTGGAGCCATCAGCAACCTGTTCTTTGGACTTAATAAATATTACGGTATATTTCTGCTATTATCCAGTATTCAACACATACGGTTTGTCGTAGATAGATAGATAATTGGATTTCTTGTTAAAATGTATCAGGAATTTCATTGCTAGATTTTTACATTTCAGATGTTTTAAGAAACATTCTGATGACCTTGTGATAAATCAGGCCGCTGTGAAAGGTCCACTAGGGGTGAGAAAAGGATTGTTTCAGGGGACTCAGGAGAACAGAAATCATTATTTTTTCACTTATAGCTTCAGCGGTCCGTGAGATAATAATGCTGGAGTGAAATCTAAAAATTAAGGCCCTGACACAGTCTAATATATTCCTATCTATCACGCTTACCCAAAGTAACATTATATGACTCTGAAAAAAAGATTATTCTGTGTGTTTTTATCGATCGGGAGACTAACTGTACTCAGAGCAAATAAGAAGTATATATTTTGTTACAACCAGCTCACATTTCCCGGCTCATTTAAACTCAACTCAATGAATCTGATTTTCACTAAAATTCATTGCAACGTGGGTGCTCACTAATCCTTGTTTTCTTCTGAGTAACTCATGGTGTTTTTACATACTCAAACCGGAATTAGAAAAACAACATATAAATCATGTATAGGAGGCAAAAAAATTCATGTTTCTCAAGGGACAGAATCAAGCAGAGGAAAATAGGATTCGGTTGTAATTTTTAATAAGGTTGTAAGGTTAGCAGAAAGGAATGGAGCACAGATTGGAAAGTAGAAAGGGGTAAGGCAGGAGAACGCATAGGTTAATGGAGGCCGTCTACTTGCAGAAATAAATAGAATATGGAGGACTAAAAATGCGGAGTTTGACAAAGAATAATTGGGATAAAACCTTCATATGTGGAAAGGAGGTATTAAGAAGATCTAAGGAAAAGAAACAAAGAAAGAATAGAATAATGTGAAAATAAGTGTTAGAATTGACCTATTTTATCTTTCGTATTGGCTTAGTAAAAGACAGAAAAAAATTCATTAAAAAATAAAAACAATGGCTAATCAATTTACATTTCTGGCTTATTATTTATGATAGTCTTTATTCTGGTCTTGAATATACTTGTACATAGTAATCAAATGTTAGAGTACCCTTTTCCCATTGGGTTAATTGGTAGTTAATAAAACACATATATCCCCCCTATATTCCTCAGCTTCCTGTTTTTGGAACATCACAAATCTGTACCAGAAGGGAATGTAATACTTTATTTTCTTTCAGAATATAGTCATATTTCATAGTGCGCTCTGCCTACCTCTTGGAGGGTGGAGGAGAAATGGATCTCTTGTAGGTTGAATGAAGACTTGCATTGCAGAGTAACAGTCAGAATCACTCCTAGACACCCCAAGTGAAGCCTGGCTGCTTGGAATATCTCAGGACTGGACGACTGCGAGCATTCTATGACCTCCCCGGAAGCTGTCATCAAAGTCAGAGCCACCACCTGTTAAAATGAAAATCTAACTTTAATAAACAATTAATGGACTCCACAAAATATTCTGGGAATTTGTAATTTATGTCTGTGCTGAAAATCGCCATTAATATTTGAACTTCTAAATCCAACTCTGAGAAAAATATCCGAATTAGAGATTCCTTGCTATCGCAACTTGTTGAATGTTGCTGCACCGTTTGAAAACCCTGCTGTGCACATTTATTACATTAAAGCAATAAAGTTAACAGAACTAAGAAGAAGCTAGGGTAATAGTTTGTCTGTAAAATGTAATTTCCTTAAAAGACACGTGATGCTTGGAAAACCCTATATAATTATATAATAAAAAACACAATCTGACTTATCACAGGTCATCAAATAGATAACCGGTTCTAAAAAAAACGAGAAAGCTACAATGTATCTTACGTCTTCAGTAAGTGTGACCTGGTTATGATGATTGGTGTCTGTATGTGTAGTGGTTTGCTTTAAATTGCCTGTACTGCACATACTGAGTTTAACCCTTTAGCTGCCTGATGCGGAATTCCACTTCCAGCAGCCTCATTGAGGTGTTATTAGCCAGCCCGGATGTACTATTATGAATTACGAACACAATCCTATGCACAGAGAGACATTCATTGGCTGAGAGTGATCAGAATACACTCTCACACACGGAATGAGCAGCAGGATCAAATCCAACTGTCGCAAACCTGCTGCAAAGGAGAGCCGGTACTCATTGGGGACGCCTGTAAGAGGGCATACCATTGTGAAGCAATTTGCCCCTTTACTAAGGAATGGCCACATGGTACTTCTACCATCAGAACAGATACAGTGGTTACGATTGTTTTAAATAAATGACTTCTAACACATTTACTTGCAGAAAGCATGCTTAGTAGACATGTGCATACACTTTTGTACGAATACGATTTAGTCCGAAAATTCGTGGTTTTTCGTATTCGTTTACTAAAACATAAATGAAAACCCTACATACGAAATATAATCTAAACGAAAGGGCAAATGTCAAATGCATTGCACTGCGCATGCGCAAAAAAAAATCAAGGAGGGAGCCGGCAGAGCTACTAGCTTCCTTCTTGTAATAAATATTAATTCCAGCCCCCCCCACATTAAAACATTACAACCTATAAGGGTCACTATGACCCCCATATTAAGAACACTAATTTCCCCCCCTGGTCCCTACCCATGAGCAGCAGGTGGGGACCCTTATTAAATAAATAATGGGGGACCTAATGTCCCCACAAGGTCCCCCCAGTTCCCACCCATGAGCAGCAGGTGGGGACCCTAAATAAATAAATAATTGGGGGGATATTATGTCCCCCCCAGGTCCCCAGCCATGACCAGCATGTGGGGACCTTAAATAACTGATTAATGGGGGAAGCTAATATACCCTCCAGGTCCCCACCCACAAGCGGCGTATGAGGGCCACAATTAATAAAGTGATTAGGGGTCCCCAAGCCCTAGTCACTTCCCCCTCCAAGAAAAATACTCTACCTAGCCCCCTCACCCTAATAATAGTGAGGGGCAGGCAATAAACTAACACCCTGTAAAATAAAATGTCATACTTACTATTAGATGTCTTCTTTTTTTTTTTTTCAGCCCCCAAAAAGGCCAAATAAAAATCCATAATACTCATCAAACTTATAAAATAAAATAAAAAAGAGTACAAAACAAAAATATGACAAAAAATAAAAAGAAAACACGCTAAAAAAAATTATCCATCTTCAGAGGGCACCACACAGACTAAACTCGGGGAAAGGCCTTTAGGAGAGAGCAGAGGTGAGGTTACTCTGGGAGGCCATAAGCTTTCCTAAAGAGATGGGTTTTGAGGCACTTTTTAAATGATTGAAGACTAAGGGAGAGCTTGATGGTCGTAGGCAGACTATTCCAAAGGCAAGGAGCCACCCGCGAGAAGTCCTGCAAGCGTGAGTTGGCTGTACGGGTGCGAGCAGCAGACAGGAGAAGGTCATGGGCAGAGCGGAGAGACCGTGAAGGAGCATACCTGCAGATCACTGAAGAGATATAGGAGGGGCTAGAATTGGTCAGTGCATGATAGAAGTGGATTAGTACCTAGAATTGACTCCTATAGGATACAGGAAGCCAATGAAAGGCCTGACAGAGGGGTGAGGTGTGAGAGGACTGACTAAAGAGGAAAGAGTCTAGCTGCAGCATTCATTACAGACAGTAGAGGGGCAATATGACTTGTAGGAAGACCTATTAGAAGAGAGTTACAATAATCCATGCAAAAGATTACTAGAGCATGGCCAACCCCCTTAGTAGCATCTTGTGTAAGGTAGTCTGTGTGCTCTCTATACAGTGCTATTAATGAGCGCTAGAGGTCTATGTGTACTGAGCCGGTCACACTATGCTGGGATAGTCTGTGTGCTCTCTATACAGTCCTATTAATGAGAGCTAGAGGTCTATGTGTACTGAGCCGGTCACACTATGCTGGGATAGTCTGTGTGCTTTCTATACAGTCCTATTAATGAGCGCTAGAGGTCTATGTGTACTGAGCCGGTCACACTATGCTGGGATAGTCTGTGTGCTTTCTATACAGTCCTATTACTGAGCACTAGAGGTCTATGTGTACTGAGCTGGTCACACTATGCTGGGATAGTCTGTGTGCTTTCTATACAGTCCTATTAATGAGCGCTAGAGGTCTATGTGTACTGAGCCGGTCACACTATGCTAGGATAGTCTGTGTGCTCTCTATACAGTCCTATTAATGAGAGCTAAAGGTCTGTGTGTACTGAGCCGGTCACACCATGCTGGGATAGTCTGTGTGGGCTTAGTTAGCTTAATATTTAGAGGTCTATGTGTACTGTTTGTCAAGCACTACATGCTGGATAGTCTGTGCTCTATACAGTCTACACGAGCCGCTTAGAGATCTTATGTGCCGAGTCGGTCACGCTTATGCTGGGAGAGCCCAGCGCCAAACCACTACTGAGCCAGAGGTTCATGTGTATCGAGTCGTCACGCTATACCGGTATAGTCTGTGTGCTTCTATTACAGTCCTATTAATGAGCGCTAGAGGTCTATGCGTGTGGTACTGAGCCGTCACGCCATGCTGATAGTCTGTGTGTTTATACATGTCCCATTAATGAGCCGCTTAGGAGGTCTATGTGTGTATTGAGCCGGTCACTATGCTGGATAGTCTTTGTGCTGTCTATACAGTCCTATTACTGAGCGCTGAGGTCTGCAACCTCGAGCCGGTCACGCTATGCTGGCATAGTCTGTGTGCTTTCTATACAGTCCTATTAATGAGCGCTAGAGGTCTATGTGTACGGAGCCGGTCACACTATAGTGGGATAGTCTGTGTGCTCTCTATACAGTTCTATTAATGAGCGCTAGAGGTCTATGTGTACTGAGCCGGTCACACTATGCTGGGATAGTCTGTGCTTTCTATACAGTCCTATTAATGAGAGCTAGAGGTCTATGTGTACTGAGTCGGTCACACTGTGCTGGGATAGTCTGTGTGCTTTCTATACAGTCCTATTAATGAGAGCTAGAGGTCTATGTGTACTGAGCCAGTCACACTATGCTGGGATAGTCTGTGCTTTCTATACAGTCCTATTAATGAGCGCTAGAGGTCTATGTGTACTGAGCCGGTCACACTATGCTGGGATAGTCTGTGTGCTCTCTATACAGTGCTATTAATGAGCGCTAGAGGTCTATGTGTACTGAGCCGGTCACACTATGCTGGGATAGTCTGTGTGCTTTCTATACAGTCCTATTAATGAGCGCTAGAGGTCTATGTGTACTGAGCCGATCACACTATGCTGGGATAGTCTGTGTGCTTTCTATACAGTCCTATTAATGAGCGCTAGAGGTCTATGTGTACTGAGCCGGTCACACTATGCTGGGATAGTCTGTGTGCTTTCTATACAGTCCTATTAATGAGCGCTAGAGGTCTATGTGTACTGAGCTGGTAACACTATACTGGGATAGTCTGTGTGCCTTTTATACAGTCCTATTAATGAGAGCTATGTGTACTGAGCCGGTCACACTATAGTGGGATAGTCTGTGTGCTCTCTATACAGTTCTATTAATGAGCGCTAGAGGTCTATGTGTACTGAGCCGGTCACACTATGCTGGGATAGTCTTTGTGCTGTCTATACAGTCCTATTAATGAGAGCTAGAGGTCTATGTGTACTGAGCCGGTCACACTATGCTGGGATAGTCTGTGCTTTCTATACAGTCCTATTAATGAGAGCTAGAGGTCTATGTGTACTGAGCCGGTCACACTATGCTGGGATAGTCTGTGTGCTTTCTATACAGTCCTATTAATGAGAGGTAGAGGTCTATGTGTACTGAGCCAGTCACACTATGCTGGGATAGTCTGTGTGCTATCTATACAGTGCTATTAATGAG